CACGCTTACGTTGTATTGGGTATCTTGGGAATTTGTATTAGTTAAAGGGGTTTTAGTTATGTTCAAAAATAGGTCTATGGCTTTATCTTGATTTTTTTCTTTTGCTAGTGCTGCTCCTATATGCCTTTTAGTGGTAGCGAAGTTTATGAGCATCACCACGTTAACTCCGCCTTTCATCTTCACTCCCGAGGTCAATGTTCGACGTTTTTCCAATGTTTTTCCGTTTTTCAGCGATTCTCAACCTTTTTTTGTTGCGGCACATATTTAACGATTTCAAAATTTGGCGGCACACAAAAAAAAAGGTAAAAATTATTTACTTACTCCAACACACTGCATAAATAGTTTATTAAAAAAATTTAATATACGAAATAAACTAAAATATACTATAATTTTTTTTTGTGGATTTAATATATGTTCATGTTTAAAATATTTTTCTTTTAAAATGATATAATTTAATAATATTAACATTATTATATATTCGCAAAATTTGGCGGCACACTTTTGAAATTTGGCGACAAAAGTGCCGCGGAACAGTGGTTGAGAATCACTGGTCATTAGTTATTATTAATGAAAAACGAAATGGAATTGATTTCTCTCGACTAATATGAATTAAAAATATCGAGAAACGATCATTTTAATTTACTCAAACTCTGAAATGTAACAATAATAGTTTCCACTGGCTCCGATATCCAGATAATAAATACTAAGTACGTGTTTTGGAAATATATCGTTTTACAAAATCTTCAAGCGTTAATATTGAATTTGGTTTTTAATATATAAGTCTCATATTGACCAGAGAAGATTTTAAAGTATTCAAAATGTTGCATTATTTTTTTATAATAAATTGGAGAAGTTAATAAATTTGGTAAAATTTAAATTGTTCTTTATTGCATGACTTCGTTGGACTTTTTTTGATAAGACAGCTACGTACTGAAAATACTGTACTGAAGTTTTGTTATTTGAAAAAAAAAAACATTCGCAAGTACCCTCGCAAACGTAATATCGGATCATAACTTCAGCCGCGACGCTTTTACAACCGAAAAACCGTAAAAATGATCATAAAAAAAACCTAGCACAGAATAGTTGGCGGGAACTTTCATAAAGTCCGCATTAACTTGGAACAAACGTGCCATTCTGTGTTANAAAATACTGTACTGAAGTTTTGTTATTTGAAAAAAAAAAACATTCGCAAGTACCCTCGCAAACGTAATATCGGATCATAACTTCAGCCGCGACGCTTTTACAACCGAAAAACCGTAAAAATGATCATAAAAAAAACCTAGCACAGAATAGTTGGCGGGAACTTTCATAAAGTCCGCATTAACTTGGAACAAACGTGCCATTCTGTGTTATTGCAAAACTAAATCCCAAGTAAATCCGTGCGATTAACCTATATCAAACATAGCGCTTGCCTGTGTCGCGGATTATCTTGGAATATGACGTTTCACAGGAAATCTTTTGTCGTTCTCTGCCTACAGTTTCGGGTTACAAGCACTAAAGTTTGCACGGAATTGTCGTATTTAACTGCATGTGCTTTCATCGTCCTGCCTATTTCGGTTGTGACTATTGGCCCGTTCCAGTTCCTTTTTCTTTTTTTTTTCTACCTAAGCTGATGATAGCCTTGAGAGCTAGCGTCGCCTTAACTAGTAGGTGAGCTCACGGGGCTCAAGCCTGATGACGTTTCTAATACGAACCCTAGCAAGAGCCGTGCTTCGCAGAATCTACCACCGGCTCGGAAACGCGACCCACTGAGAAGATCCGGCGAGAAACTCAGTAGGCGTTCCAGTTCCAAGAGTGGTACTATTGTTAGCTAACACATCTTTTTTCCTTTGCACATTTAAGAGCTTATAATTCTAATTAAGACTTTAATCTCGTGTGTCAAAGTAAACGACGGTATTCATGTTGTGATTTATACGGGTTTTGGTAAATAATTAACACCCAATAAGCCGCATGCTTGTTCACCCAACTAATCAATAAAACACGCTTTCTCCTTACCTATTCGCTGATAGCCTAAGAAGCTAGTCTAGCTACGTCCGGACGGGTAGGTGAGTTCACGAGCTCAGCCTCAGAGAATTTACTAACGCTAGCCCTAGGAAGAGCACTGCTTCGCAGAATCTACCGGTTCGCGACACACTGAGAAGATCCGACGAGAAACTCAGTGGGCTAAAAAGAGGCTATTCTGTATTTTATAGACTATGTGATAGCGTTTCTATTGGAAATTCGTATATCTTGATGGCACCATTCTGCCCATTCTAATCGCGAGGCAATCATGTATTTCTATTTAAAGAATAAAACATACTTCTAGCTCATCTCAAAAGATGGGTGGTGAAATTCTCGTTGACATATCCATACGGTCTGGTAGCCATAACAATCAACTTATAGTACACTCATATACACATCGATAAAATTATGCAGGATCTACTAAATTTAAACCCGGACGTAGTCGTATCGCTCGGCACGAGTAAGTACCCCGGGCGTCTTATTCTTTGGGACGCGATATATTTTTGCGTATTTATATATTTAGTCTCTGATTCTTGAATATGAGTTGTCATCTTGTGACAACGCACGGATACCGCCACTCTATCTATTTCTGCCGTGAAGCAGTAATACGTTTCGGCTTGAACTGTGGGGCAGCCGTTGTACTGTAAAACTGAGACTTAGAACTCATGTCTCAAGGTGGGTGACGGCATTTACATTGATGATGCTTATGGGCGTCGGTAACAACTTGACAACACGTAAGCCGTAAGCTCGTCCACACAAATAAGCCAAAAAAGCATTGCTGAAATTATGTTGTAAAAAAATCTTAAACTTTGTTTTAAAATAGCATTTGCTTGTAAATCATTGTTCAGTTAGAAATAGGTAGTCTTTTATCGTTTTTATAATGCCTGCGGTCGTGGGTAGCGTCTAAATTATAAACCGTTTGAAGAAAAAAAAAACATAAATCAAACCAGCTTAAAATGACTTATTAATGCTGAACACAATAAGTTATACGCCCACTGATCGTAAAACAATCCAGGGCGAAATGTCTTAAAACTCTGGCAACACCAGAAAGCCATTAGTTTTTATTTGTGTCCCATTGTCCTGCCACGGTATTGCCACGGTGTGGAACAGGAAATTATTCTCCATTATTATAACCCATGTTGTCACTCACTCTCTAATGAACGATAAGTCGCCTTTTTTTTTTCGAAAAGCTTTTTGCCGGGTCCTTTTACGCTGTGCGACTTGTAACGTTAATGGAAAACATTAGTGGAGCTTTGTCCGTAAATGAATTTAATTTCTAGATCCATTGTTGTGCCTTTGATCTGAGTATTTTAAATTACTTACGAAAAGTGATTTATAGTTTTGAAATATCTAATAGATTGCATGTTTATTTTGAAACTAATTGATTCGACAGTTTGAAGTCGGTATTTTTTAAGTATCAAATCACTGGGATATTTAGGGTTGCCTAACTTGATTCGGTTTTATAGGGGAATTTTATTTAGTCGGATCATTCTGTACTTAATTGTTGACAATGAAGGAAATTAGTCTTTTTAGGATATGTGGTGGTATTATTACTACATGTTGACAGAAGTTAGATTAGAGATGCTATAAACAAATATTCAGCTGATTAATGTTATTGTTCACATGAACAATTGCATGCACTTGCGTGGGTGTGCAAAATTATCTGGACTTCACTGAACACTTTTTTATATGCTATATAACAGACTCAGTAAGCTAGAAAATTAAATATTCTGGCATAATTTAAGCGGGTTAGTGGATTTTTTGTTTTAACGATTAATAAAACCAGAATCCGTTTTTAGTTTATCAGTCTCGTGCCCTTTGCTTTGTTTTTTTTTTTTGTTTTTGTCCTGCTATTGAAATTGTGGTAGATCTAGTATCTATCTCTTATCCAGATTTATCTGATGGAAGTATCACTGGCAGTAAAATAACAATAAGCTTAGTCTAGCCTTTTAATGCTTACTGCAGATGTAGGCATGATAGTGCTACCGACTAGTGAAAGTTCGCGAAAGTTGGATTTGTACCACCAGAAATTATTTAATTTCGTAACTGAATTAAATTATACCTTCTACTCAGCGATAATTTGAATTTAGATCTTTGGTGCATTTAGGTCTGCGATATTATCTCAATAGTTCACAGAGTAACAAAAGAAGTTCAAATCAAATTGTTTCCTACTAAAGTAAATATGTCGAAAACCAGAATCCGTATAATAAATCTACAGAATAAATGGTTTTAAGATATATAAGGTCTATAAAAAATTCCAATAATTAGAATAGATAGAATAGAATAATTAGAATATAAATAACAATTTTAATAGGGGCCTGAAATGGGAAACGAAAGGGACTCATAGACGCCGTCATGCGAAACCGTTAACTCCATGTGTCATCTAATTATTAAATGCAGAAGGGACATAGGTTAAATATAGAGATAGGAGAGTACTTAACAGTAGGCAACGACTTGGCTTTGTCCCTGGCATTGCTGAGGTCCATGAGCGACGGTAATCACTCACCATCAGATAGGCCGTATGCTCATCTGCCTACAAGGGCAATAAAAATTGCTTATATATATAATTTTGTGTATTTTCCTTAATATTAATTCGAGAAAAACTTAGATTTTTAAGAACGATTTTTAAATGCTCACTAGGTATCTTCATTGTTACTATTACTCCACAAAAATAATCATACGTATCTGTATGAAGGATGGGTTAGTTGTTTCACAAATTTTGTCAAACTCGTTAACTTCGACCTCTATTCTCACAATTGACATGAAGAAGTACGTTACGTTATCTTTGATCATTTTTGTTGCCTACATATGCTAGTGATCTCGGCAGTTATCCTAGCTTCGCCAGACGTGTAGGCGAGCTCACGAGGTTCACCCTGATATCGTACCAGCCCTAGCAAGTACAGTGTTTCGCTGAATCGCTACCACCCGATCGGAATCGCGACCCATTGAGAAGATCCGCCGAGAAACTCAGTGTGCTTAATAATAATAATTGTCCTCAGTACGTCCACTCCTCGTCGAGATACTAGCAAGAGAGCAGCCGCTATCCGTGGGGCAGACAGCCGAATTGACCTGCAGGGCAGTTGGGGCGAGACCACCGGCGATGATTACTTGGTGGCTGGATAGTTCACAGCTAGCTAAAGAAGCTATTCAGAAGGTACTAGTTTACAAAGGGGTCTTGAATGATGATTTCAGGGTAATTGGGCGAGACCACCAGCAATTATTACTTGGTGGCTGGATAGTTCACAGCTAGCTAAAGAAGCTATTCAGAAGGTACTAGTTTACAAAGGGGTCTTGAATGATGATTTCAGGGTGATTGGGCGAGACCACCAGCAATGATTACTTGGTGGCTGGATAGTTCACAGCTAGCTAAAGAAGCTATTCAGAAGGTACTAGTTTACAAAGGGGTCTTGAATGATGATTTCAGGGTGATTGGGCGAGACCACCAGCAATGATTACTTGGTGGCTGGATAGTTCACAGCTAGCTAAAGAAGCTATTCAGAAGGTACTAGTTTACGGAGGGGTCTTGAATGATGTTTATCGTTTGAAAACGTAATTAGTACCTACGTAATGTTACGTTGTAAGGAGGTTTCATAACAATTTCCATAATATTATACGAATTAACTGTTCTATTACAAGATTGAGGAGGAAATAATCAAATATTGAAATCACATTCAATATAATTGAGTTTGTTTAATATTTAATTATAATTTGTACCTCAATATTTCTATCGCAAGCTAATTATGTTCCTTTTTGTTTTTCTCGATCGTCAAAATAAATACGCTTAATGAACTAAATATACTTTTATTATAATTACTCTGTAAATACACAGTATAATTGAATATTATGAAATAGCGGTAATATAAAATTTCGGTAGGCAGCGGCTTGGCTCTGCCCCTGGCATTGCTGAAGTCCATGGGCGACGTTAACCACTCACCATCAGGTGGGTCGTATGCTCGTCTGCCTACAAGGGCAATAAAAAAAAAATATAAAATAATTTTGTAGCTTTTACTAAGTTACCATTAGTCTTTCAGAATGATTTGAATTATTACTGTTAAACATTAAAGGAAGGCTGAACATCAAAACACCATAACAAAAAAAACTAACCGAATGAATTTTCAGGATTCGGACGACCGCAACGAAACCGTTTCCGTACTGCGGTGGACGCCACAGATGGGCCACAACGGGCACACGTTGACCTGCCGGGCGGCGCATACGATTCTCGACCATACCACCATAGAAACAAGCATGAGTTTAAATTTACACTGTGAGTGTATCTGTTATATTTCGATGCGGAGTCCGAAGTAAGGTTTTGTTGTTTATTTTTGTTATGATTTAAATTATTGTGAAGTTGGTTCGATAATAGCTAGATGAAATATAAAATATCTACATTCGAAATTTGAAATGAGATTAATTCTGGCTACATGGAATTAGTAAATACAAACTATAGTCAAATAGTAACAATATCGAAAATACAGTATCCACTAGATACAGATCCTAATCTATATACTGTTACAATATTTTTGCCAATTTATCATCAGTTAGATACTGTTTTATAAATATATAGTTTGTTTGACTCTGATCATTGCACAAAATACCGATTAAGAGTTGAAAAAAACCTTTTAATGTCTTGTTTGTTGATACTAGAGTACAGAACCCGTTCTTGATAATGACTATAATGGCAAAAAAAACCCAATAAATTAGGAAATCATAATTATGTAATGTTCTAAGCAGACGAAGCTTACTTCCTTTCTGGTTTTAATAAAATTTTATTAGTTACCATTACTATTGCGGGCAACCCTTGAAAACACATGATCAAAGTATCAGCTGTCTTATATTGCAAATGTACTGCCCTCAAAAACAAAACAGTGACGGCTTTGCGAAGAGAGATGATGGAAGTAACCGTTGGGACTGAATTATTATTGCTTAGATGGGTGAACGAGCTCAACAGCCTACCTGGTGTTAAGTGCCCATAGACATCTACAACGTAAATACGCCACTCACCTTGAGATATATGTTCTAAGGTCTCAGTATAGTTACAACGGCTGCCCCACCCTTTAAACCGAAACGCATTACTGCTTCACGGCAGAAATAGGCAGGGTGGTGGTACCTACCCGTGCGGACTCACAAGAGGTCCTACCACCAGTCCCAGTGCCCTACGCCTAAGAGGCTATTCCAGCTAAGCGTGGATGGGTAGTTGAGCACACGGGCTCAACCTCAGAGAATTTTTTAACACTAGCTACGGCAGGAGCAACGCTTTGTAGAATATACCACCGAAAGGGGACTCAATGTAATCTATAGCCAATACACAAATATACTGGTGGCAGGACCTCTTGTGAGTCCGCGCGGGTGGGTACCACCACCCTGCCTATTTCTGCCGTGAAGCAGTAATGCGTTTCGGTTTGAACCGTGGGGCAGCCGTTGTAACTATACTTGAGACCTTAGAACTTGTATCTCAAGGTGGGTGGCGCATTTACATTGAGGATGTCTATGGACTCCAGCAACCACTTAACACCAGGTGGGCTGTGAGCTCGTCCACCTATCTAAGCAATAAAAAAAAAGTTAATTTTATTATTGAAAAAATACTTCCCTTAATAGGACCACAAAAGGCATCTTATACTAGAAAAATGATTACTGATTTCGTTCGATAAGTTATAAAGTTCTGTTTATATTCATACAGACGTACCGATAGTTAAATTAAGACTCGGATCAAAATTGAACCCTAACGATATTGAAGAAGGCGACGACGTGTACTTCGAATGCGTGGTCGAAGCAAATCCACCGGCTTACAAAGTTGTATGGGAACATAATGTAAGTAAAAATGATTCTTATACGTTTGATATTACGTTTTAAATTATATTGTTTCAGGAACGTTAGTTAAATTTATTAGATTTGTTATAAATTAATTAATTATGTAGGTATTTATAAAATAAGAAGCTATGTGTTACTAACGGAATGACTTTGTTTTTTTTAAACTATTGCATAGCTTTTATTGCGGGCTTTGAGTGCGGCGACGGAATCAAGAAATTTCGTAACGAAAATAAAACCTAACACCCCCACTCCGCCTACCATGTAGCTCGCGTTCAACACATTCACACGTTGCGCTTGTGTAGTGTTTGTGAATAAGCGCACGGCGTGACGTCGCACTGCATTCTCATCATGAAAAGTCTGCCCATCTCTCTCTCGCGCGGTCTAGCTTATGAGTGTGAAGGGGACAGTTAATGTTTTGCTTTTGTTAATGTTTATAAATATAGCGTGGTCTTATTTTATTATTATTGTTTTAATATTTAATTATTATTGTATAATTATAATTGCATAAGTTGATAAAAAAATGCTATGCAATAGCTTTACCGCGGCAGACCCCGAGTGCCACACGTGTTATTTTTCTTTATTGCTAAGTTAAGTGAACGAGCTCACGGCCCTCCTGATGTCAAGTGGTTACCAGAGCCCATAGACATCTACAACGTAAATGACGCCACCCACCTTGAGACATGAGTTGTAAGGTCTCTTTTAACAGTACAACGGCTCCCCCGCCCTTCAAACCGAAACGCATTACTGCTTCACGGCAAAAATAGGCAGGGTAATGATACCTACCCGTACGGATTCACAAGTCGTCCTACCATCAGTAATTACGCAAATTATAATGTTTGCGGATTGATTTTAATTACACGATGTTATTCCTTCACCGTGGAAGACAATCGTGAGCATTTGTTAAGTACGTATTTCATTGGAAAAATTGATATCTCTCAGCCTGTACTTCTTTTAGGGTCAAATAATGGCACACAATCAACGGGCCGGTGTTATAGCTGGACCGGCCCATTTGGCTCTGCAGAGTGTCGCCAAAGAACAATCTGGAAGGTATTCTTGTACGGCTTCAAACGTCGAAGGCGACGGTCGATCATCACCATTCAATCTCCAAGTTATATGTGAGTAATTATCACAATTATACAACTGACTCCCGTTCAGGATATATATTGACCGGGTGATTAATAGCTATGAATACATTAGCCCAATTTAATATCTCTTGAAAAATAAAGACACTCTCTATTTTGCGATTTGATATAAATCCTGCACTCGCTCGCTTGCTTAGCATAAAGTAAAAAATCGCATATTAAATTTGAACTTGCACTTTGGACTAATCTGGAGGATCTTTCTTGAATTAATCTAAATCTACAAATCAATTTAATAATTAACTAGTAAAGTGAAGCTTTGCCAACATCGATTCTTAAAAATATGCGCTATACAAGAAAGGTAAGTGGGAAAAAATAAAACTACTTTTACTGCTTAAAATTTGCTTAGTTATTCAACCACTACAGTATCTCCTCCTAATTACACTGATTTAAATTATACATCTATTTGGAAAGAAACTCTGAGTTCCTTGGTGTACCTTCTCATTGTCGAGACTGTATTTTGATGCGTGAACTCATGGCAATCTACTCTTATGTAGGCTTATTTCAATAAAATATTTTAATGAATTTATTAATTCAAATATCATTCTATCAATAGTGTTAAAATTTGTCAATGAGTTTTTTTAATACGCAAATAACTTCATGAGCCGTTTAGTAAGATTTTAGTTCAAATATTATGAAAAGTTTTGAAACAGCCCACAACAAAACTTGGCAAGGCTTAGGCGTAGTTTTTTGATTGCCTCGATTACGTGGCTTCGATCCCAACCCCTAAAATTACTAAAAAACGTACAAAATCAATTAAAAGTTTCACGTACAGTTTTAAAATAGTTCAACGGAGACTATTATTTCTAAAAAAGCTAACGCGATAAAACTGTCATTGAGGATATTAAAGTAAAATATAAATCCATTAACGCGAATAGCAGATAATGACTAATAATAAAACTATATTTCCATCGCACGATAACGACAAACACGCAAGTTGCGCGACGGTTTTTAGTGCAAGGGTTAGAATGGGCTCAAGTTACAATCCGATATCGCTATCCGATTCTTTAAGAATGCCGATCATTACACTGTATGTTCTGTGAGGAATTTATCCTCTGTTCTTTACCATAGCACCGCACATCACTGAAGCTACGTCCATGCTATCTTGAACCACTGTTTTATTCACAATACGTTAGCAGAGATCTTTTTTGCTAATTTTTATCCGATTCTAACAAACAAATGAACTGCCATTCAAGGTGTTTCCCGAAAATTTGACCTGTTCTTCTTTAAGCGAAGCTTAAGGAGAAAACTCAACAATACGCTGCGACTTGACAGGCTACTAGTAAAACGTACTAGCAGGGAATAAAATAATCCATCCTACCCAAGCCATTACCAATGTACATATACCATTTTTGACGGGATTCCAAGCAATTCTATTGTTAACGATCTTAAAATTAATTGAAATATTTTTAATGTTGCCTCGTATCGATCATTTGACCTCTTGAATTACCTTGCAAAATAGAATCGTTCGATACCTTTTTTTGTGACAGAGGAAGTTTCTTTTGATATAGCGGCCCGCTCCGGCTCCGCTCGGGTCTTTAACAAAAATTTCAACGATATTTGACGTTGTTTTACTTTTTTAAATAAAAGAACACTTATAGGGGCATAGCTATAATAGTTAGACATATGCTGTCGCGTCACTTTTTGTAAATAATAATGTGTTCTACAAAGTCGTAGTACATTATTTTATTCTATCATCAACAGTTTTCGCAGGGCACGCGATGTAAAGAATATTTTCAGTATTTTTTTTACACCTTGGGTTACATTATTGGAGTTTTAGTAAGGATCCCTATTTTTTTTTTCAAAAAAGATTGTAGCCTATGTCACTCGGGAATAGTGTAGCTTCCAAGCACTTAAAGAATTTTTCAAATCGGTTCAGTAGTTTGGAAGCCTATTCAATACAAACAAACAAACAAATCTTTCCTCTTTATAATATTAGTATAGATATATGTTCAGCTTTATTTTTTCATAAACCTAAACCTCAAGTTGAGTTGTATGTCCTAAGTATCAAATGACTAATATGTACTATGTAGGTAAACAAGCATATTACTTAATAATTGAATGACAACAATGAAATTAATTAAAAATCGTATCGTACGGAAATATCGTAACGATTAATACTAGTCTCTACTCGTGTTTAACCGTGTAACTTAGGAAAAAACGTTTTAACCTACGAAGTAGTGTAGCGTGAATACTATTCATGTAATTAAACTTCACAGGAAATGAATAATAATTTAGGGATTATATTTTGTGACTAGTAACTTTTAAATTTTTATTAAAACGCTGAAGTGGTTAATCTCATTTAATGTGGAAGAACTAACAAAGGTCAATGTCGAAGTCGTTATACTGTTATCGTAGCCCACCTTGAGACGTAAGACTAATGTCTCAATTGTATGGAAGAGGTTATAGCCCCAAGTATAGTGCTTTACGGTAGAAATAGGCAGGATCGGCAGAATACCTCCTGCATGGCATACTGGTAATAAGCAAAATAGCTAAATGTACGCACAGGGAAGATTGCTAGACTAGTAAGGCGTAGTAAGCTACGGATGATTAAGCTATTTTGTTAGTCTGAGTTGTTTTAAAGTGGAAATCGTTCATTGGATTTTTTAGTCTGTCATTTGTTGTGGTGACGCCAACCACGGACGGTTTGGCGTCCAATGGAGGCCGGGTACTGAGGAGATACGTGATCCTCGTAAATTGCCACCTTACATCCCAGTCTGCCTCGGATGATGTAAAAAAAATAAAACAGTATAGGATTTATACCTTTTTCTATAATGCCATTTTTTTGTTTTTTTTTAACGTAGCTATTTACGAGCTAGTGTTATAAAAAAACAATAAAAAAAAAACAACAAAGTGAGTAATATTTAAAATAAATCTAAATCGTAAGGTGTCAGTAATTATGGTCCAAATTCGAATAATATAATTCGCAGAATAAATATTATGACGAGTTTGTGCGAATTGAATAGTTGTCAGCCCTATATTAGGCACTTAAAGGCGATATTCCAAGTCTATTCTAAAAGAGTACGAATTAAAATAATCAATAAATAACCAGGATTAAAACGTCGAGCGGAATACACGGCGTGTCGTATGAAATCGTCGTTTAAATCTCGGAATTTCAGTAAAGGAAATACAAACGGCCTCGCCCGTCAAATATATCACCGATGATCGCAGAATTGATAGTCGTACTCATTATTTTATGATGGTTTTAAACTGATTTACCTATTTTGTTTTAAATAATAAGGTACAAGTTTTACAAAAATAACGATGATAATGTCAGTATTATTGTTAAATTGCCGACATTCTATAGCGAACTTACTACCAATATGGGTATTAATCGCTCACCGAAGCTCATCGATATCAACGACGTAAATACTGCCTGCCACTCACTTTGAGACATGAGATCTAACTCTCAAATTTATAGTACACCAGTAAAACTGACGTATCTATGTATATACTTAGTCTGGCAATAAATACTGTTACAATTAAAAATAAACAAAATATTACATTTGAATGTGGAATCTGTCATTTTTATATGATTGCTCATTGAGTTTTCTCATTTTGGCGCCAATACATTGTACAATATTTTGCGATATTAAAACGGAGTGGGGTGATAAAGAGAACCGAATCGCTGTGATTGCATTACACAAAGTAGGTATGGAGCCAAATGCAATTTTTAAAACTCTCCAGACGCTTGGTATTAGTAAAATGTTTGTGTACCAGTACGGCTACTATCACGGTTGCTCAGCTTTTGTCCACGTTACCAGCATACGGAATCCCCGAGGGACTCTGTAAGCTGACAACTGGATCGCTAGCTTGTTGGATGGGTGGAGAATCACAGTCGTCGTTAATGAGTGCTTCTCTGGTGCTATGACCATTAACACTGGTGTTTCATAAAGTTCGGTGCTCTCCTCCTGCTCTTTATCCTGTATCCTGTCACTGATGACATGTTATATGCATTGCTGCATGGCATGCATTGCTATGCTGACGAAAGCATGGGGGATGCGCGATATATCGAACATCAGCATCTCTCTCGGAGCGCGATGCAGGAGAGATGATTAAAACTTGTGTCTGAAGTAGAGAGCTCTCTGGAGAAGTCTCCAAGTGGGGTGAAATGAATTTAGTTTCATTCAACCCGCTAAACCACGTTTACTGCAAAGGAGGACCCTTTTGTCTGGTGCCGCAATTCCAAGAAGTATCCCTGCAACCTTTCACGACCATTCGGATACTTTACCGTTTTCACAGATCGTTTGACAAGCATCTAGGGTCCCTACATTCTTATTAGTACACCAAAGCTGCAATGAATCCCATTATATCCTAAAGTAGGAGCTTATATAAAGTAAGCGGGCTAAAGCTAGAGCGTTCATGGTATTCGAACGAGAAATCCATTCATAGAGGTCCACGCATTAAGGGCATTAATTGCAACATTGGTACTCCCCTTTCCCTTGTGATGAGAGATCACACCTTAATATCTTTCTAATCTAATCAACCAAAAAAACTGGTCGTAGGATGTCTCGTAAGTGCACACGGGTAGGTACCACTGTCCTGCCTATTTCTGCCGTGAAGCAGTAATTCGTTTCAATTTGAAGAGCAAGGCAGCCGTTGTAGTGTTAAGCTGAGACTCTTGTCTTAAAGTCGGTGGCGGAATTTACGTTGTAGATGTTTATGGGTTCCGGTAATCATTTGACCCCAGGTGGGCCGTGAACTCGTCCACCCACCTAAGCTATAAAAAAAATCAAACCACCAACCAAATCAAACTGTACTCATTTTTGTCACCACCCAACATAATAATATCCTGGTCGATTGCGGACTAATTCAAATCGTAATGTAATCTAATGTAGTAGTAGTGTAATAATAATAGTATAATTATGACAAAATGATATACAATTTAAACAAGATTCAATTCTCAATCAAAGCATCCCAGTGAGGCTCAGCTTCGATTAATATTGTAATTACATAGTCCATAGACTAGCTAGATGTTGGTTCATATGCAATGCATCATCGAATTCGAGGCGACGGGCATAACATCACACGCCATCGACGCCACAAATTGAATGTGTGTTACGTGGTGCGAATACCTTCAAACCAATATACATAGAGAAACATAGTTATTACGAGGATACGAGCAACCCTCTTGTAAATTGAAAAAGTGACTGTATCTATTATAGTATAGTGATGTACTAATGATACGGCGTCTTATGAGTCCGCCGGGCTCGTATCAATGCTCTGCCTATTTCTGCCGTGAAGCAGTGATGCGTTTCGGTTTGAAGAGTGGAGCAGTCGTTATACTATAAAAACTGAGACTTATAACTCATGTATCAAGATGAGTAGCCGAATTTCGTGCTATGTGTCTACGGCCTCTGGTAGCCACTTAACGACAGGTCGGCCATGGCTCAAATACCCTTCTAAGCTATGAAAAAACAGTTGAAACTCGAATAGCTGCTAAGGTTTTAATAGGTCGTAAAAAAATATAACAGTTAGTCGTCATGTTTCCAAGATTTAAATCAAAATTTTAAGAAATTAATGTAGTTCCTGTTTCTTTGCGCTTTTCCGAGCTCTACACACTATTTAAATAAATTTACTTTCCCTTACCCTTAGTATTACTTTACTTAAAATTTTGACCTTAATTCGGAACGAAAATGAATAAAGTTAACTTGGGAAAAAAGGTAAAAATCTTGAAACTGCTTGTCAATTTTACCTGTTTCTGGTTTGCTTGCACAAAGACTTTTTTGACCTTTTTTACCTTCACCTTGTTTTCTTAATTAATATTCATTATCTAAGTATCGATTAAGTTAAACGTCTACAAGAACTTTTTTATCTAAGGTTTAAAATTTCAATTTAGATTCAGGTACTGTTATTGAAAATTATAATTCGATACTTTCTTGAAATGTATCAGTCAACATCATCCGATCACTAGACGATACGATTTAGTCTCATGAAGAGATAGATATAATAAAGTAAGCTCCTTTCAAATTAAATATTTGTATAATAGTTCTATTTAAAAATAAATAATATTACCTTTAAACAGATAAGCCAGTTTGCAAAAACCAACACACCATGGTCGTCGGAGCTGCTATCAATGAACCAGCAAGCGTGAAATGTGATGTCGACGCGTTTCCACCCCCTAAGAACTTTCAATGGACTCTCAATAACTCTATGGGCACTGTAGATATAGAACCAGTAAGTTATAAATCAGTACTTGAAATTCAAAGTACTACCCAACGCAGTTCAAACCTTCTTAAAAGAGTTTCGGTTTATTTAGGGAATTGTCGTAAGAGAAAATCAATTATGATCGGAATTTAAATACAAATGGAATGCTGCTTATTGGTTATCACTTGAGAACACCTGAACCGATTGGTATTTTTTATCTTAAAGTGTTCATAACAATATAAGGTTAACTAATTTCCATTAACATANCAAAGTACTACCCAACGCAGTTCAAACCTTCTTAAAAGAGTTTCGGTTTATTTAGGGAATTGTCGTAAGAGAAAATCAATTATGATCGGAATTTAAATACAAATGGAATGCTGCTTATTGGTTATCACTTGAGAACACCTGAACCGATTGGTATTTTTTATCTTAAAGTGTTCATAACAATATAAGGTTAACTAATTTCCATTAACATAAGAGAAGGATTAAAATTTCTAAATTTAGATTCGTTCAATACGAATAATGAATCTATAACTTTTTTGTTTTGCTTCGGACGAGAAAATATCTTAGAGTGTATATGGTGGAAATTCATATCTTTGAAAAGATTACCGCCTCCCATCAAAAGGTCAAAGATCTCAATTGTAAATACAATAAAGGTTATATATATTTCAAACTTGAAGTGGAAATGCTTCTCGTTCGACTACAGGATTATCGTACCGACATAATAATATATCTACACATATAATATCTATATAATCATCATAGTCGTTCATGAAGAAGAAGTGTAAGTACATATTTTAAAAATAGATGCATTTGCGACAATTAATTTTGAGACGATTGTAATGTGCGTCTTATATACTCGTAATTATATTTATTTTGCCATGAGTACTTGACAAAAGTAAATCATCTGGTGTTACACCAATGAAAACTAATTTACAAGTCTCAATTCTTATATCAAAAGATTTGAATGTGGATTCCCAATGTGATTTATATCATTTTATTTCAAAACAAATAAATTGTGAACAGAGGTTTGTTTGTTGTTCCATACATTTTTGCCCAGAAGCTATCACAACAGACAGAACAATTATTTTAAATTAATCTCAAGTCGAACATCTGTATGTACGAAATGATTTGTTATAATATTTACATTTTAATTTGTTTTCCCTCCAGAGTAAATTTACGGTTGATAATATCGGCCGATCAGTCCTCACTTACACAGCGACAACAGAAAGTGATTATGGATCGTTAACCTGCCGAGCCACAAACATGGCTGGACAGCAAATGGACCCATGCCGATATACTCTGCTCCCGGCCGTAAAACCGGATCAGCCATTTAATTGCACCACTTTAAATTTGACTGACGATTCTGCTGAGCTTCGATGTGTTGCCGGTTAGTGATTCGTGGAAAGCAAAGTTTTTTATAAGAGTTAGTCACACAGCCTATCTAGTGTTATAGGGTTATCTAAGCCTAGACCACAATGTGTATCCCATCACCAACCTACAATATAAGAACGAGGCTAGTTTTTACCCTAATACCAGATGATTTTTAAATTCTATTGCAGGCAGACTTTAAATAGACGCAATAATGTCATTATTAAGAAATGACTGGGATGGGGAGTATTTATAAATAGGTAGTAAACGCGAAAGGTAACCGTCAACATATATATATTTTTTTATTGCTTATAATAATATGGTTGGACGAGCTCACAGCCCACCTGGTGTTAAGTGGTTACTGGAGCCCATAGACATCTACGACGTAAACGCGCCACCCACCTTGAGATATAAGTTCTAAGGTCTCAAGTATAGTTACAGTATAGTTGTTTAAATTATAGCGATCACTTAATTGTTGTCACTTTTAAATTTAAGTCAACTTATAAATATGTTTCTTGGTTGAATAACGTGTTAAAAGTCAATCTCAAAATGATAGTATTTCGCAGGTTATGACGGCGGACTCCACACCACATACATTGTGGAAGTATGGGAGACAGGAAATCTAATAGCAAACGTGTCGTCATCAGTTCCAGTTTGGAAATTAGATGATCTTGGTTCAGGAAAAGCGTTAAAATTGTACTTCTACGCACACAATGCCAGGGGAAGATCAGACATCACCAAATTAAGAGTGCATACATTGTCACGTTTAGCTTTACATACTGGTGAGTTGATATGACGTGTAATTTTTGTTCTCCCTACAATATCCTTTAAATCATCTTAGTTTTTAAATCGTTTTAGCCTAAAAGATGTGGACGTTTGGATAGGAATGAAACGATGCGATCAGGCTGGTTTTTGAATCACGCCGATAGACACATTTTTCTAAAGAAACACTTACTACAGGTTACTACAGGTTTTTTTTATTGCCTTTGTAGGCATACGGGCATACGGCCCACCTAATGGTGAGTGGTTATCGTCACCCATGGACTTCAGCAATGCCAGGGGCAGAGCCAAGCCGCTGCCTACCGACTTTTCCGATGATATGGTTTAATAAAAATCTTTTTAATCCTAATGTGGCTAACTGGTGGCTGATAGCCATTTAACAACATGACTTACTTTCTTGCTATCTAGAACCTCAATATCTTGTAGCACGCGTTGTAACGTTTTAGCTATGGCTATCTATTTGACATTATAATAATATGATTAAATATTGTTTAAGGATAATTTTCCATTAAGTAAATATCATTTTGAGCGAGATAATGAAATTACAATATCGTTTAAAACTATTAATTTCTTCGTAGAAGCGAAGACCACGGAAGTCCAAATTGACAGGAATTGGCTACTTGCGGCAATCGCTGTGGCTGTTTGCGTGTTAGTTGCAACTATATCTCTGGCTCTTTGGGCAAGAAGAAGACAACATAGACCAATGCAGTATGAAGGTAATTATTTATCATTGAATTTTTTATGGATTTTGTTTAAAAATGTACTGCAGAAATGGATAAAGCAGTCGTAATGAATATGAACGATGTAATGGTGTCCCAATACTTAAACAATGTATTGTTATTATAAATGTGTTTGTCGTGATGGAGACTGTAGTACGTACTTGATTGAAATTCAGTAGTTTTTTGCATTTCAACGAAGATTTCTATTTATTTTTCTATTTCTTTTTATCTCAGCTCCCATATTAATAATGTTAACAAATGGGTGTATTACATATTCAGTGATATTCATTGTGGAATGTGGCTCAGTTTATTTAGCTACCTCATTTTTTAGATAATATTTAATCCTATACTTATATGCTTCAAATAAGTGTAATTGAATATGCTACAGTATTATTTTTAACTCGGCCTATAATTTTTCAAACTAGTAAAGCCATTAGTAGTAGTCAAACCATTTCTAGTTATCTTCATTCTGAAATGGTTATGATTTAATTGATGTTATAGTTTCCGTTGGTTATGGTTTAAACTCGATGAAAGAGTTACTCGATACAGTTGATTTCATTTAATTTTGATACACGATGTACCTAATAGTAATACGCGGTCGATGAGCCAATTTAGAAAATCCTCAGCTTCAATAGATAATTCATTCAACTCACCACAAGCGTATAATTTTGGAACCCAAGTAATCGAATTGATGTGTGAAAAAGAAAAACGTTGGCGTTATTTAAGATTCGTAAATCAAGCGACGTAAATCTGTGCATCGTATTTGGACCCAGAAAACACGGAAAAGCAATAAAATTCCGCATTCAGTACGGTGCAGGAATCAATAGGGATTCGCTCGGCGCGGAGTTCTCACGAGGACGGCGTTTCCGCGTGACCAGGGTTTTCGACTACGCCTCTACACGGCTGCATTTGATTTATGTCCCTCTATATTTTCACTGGAATTGCGGACGTCACGTCAACCTACTTGGACATTTTTATTAACTTCCTTGGCAAACGACTGCCTTTTAACATTAAGAGTAAAATTCAATTTCAAAGTGCAATTTTAAGTTTTCTTACTCATTTTGAAATCGATGGTCTTTGGATCAACTCTAAAAATATATGCGACTGCTATTCATTTATATTGGTAATTTTAGGAGAACAAATGATAAAAAATTGTGTTCCTTAGTTCAATCTTAGGACAACAAACTAGCATTGATCCCTTATTACCTAGGACGACTACTGCTATTTTAATAGAACTGTAATTAGATAGTTGCGTCCAATCACTCTTCTTCCGAACTCATCTCAAACAACTTTAAACGCAGACAAATCGTTTTGTCCGTATGTTGGAAAGGCGAAATAAACACGCCAGTACTAACAAAGAGCCATACATCTTAGGAACCACTACGGGGGTAAAAACGGTGTCGCTTGAATGATGGAAGTTTCCACTTGACCGAAAGATAGGGGAAGCGAATTTTAGATAGGTAACTTTTGTATGGGAAAAATATACGTCACGTGAAGTATGCTCACGAATGTTCACGGTTAATTATTTATTTAATACGAGAGACCCATGTGCTAAATCCATTTGCTCGTCTACCTTTGGAAGTACTCTTTAAGGATCGATTTCAATTAAATACGTCCTCGGTACGTAAATTTAATGGGTAGTAAAATCAAGCTTTACGTTTTTTATTCAAATAGAATAATGGGCTTTATCGTATAAAATTTAAATAACGAAGCTTATTGTATTCAATTGTCACGTTTCATTTAGTTTCAATTTGGTAAAAGGTCTATAAGTTATTTGGGGAGTGCCAAAATTTGGCATAGCTAGCTGTGGTTTAATACATTGCATTAAAAATAATATGTTGTCAAAGTTACTAGATTTGAATAATTTTAATTGGGTTAATTTTAATTTAATATCTTAAATTAATTTAGCGCTACCTCAGAAGAACACGGCAAAATATAATTCTTTTTCGTGGCACAGTACTACGAGATATGTATCTAATAAACTAAATGGCAGCGTTTCAGATAGTAAGCTCTAGTCGCGTGTCAAAGCTGACAGACATAATTTTCTTTTTTTGCTGTGTTGAGCTTTTTTTAATCGAATACCTAAGATATATTATAAGATAACTTCAATACTACACACAAATACGTATTACGTAATCTATTTATGAACATAGAAAAATATTTCAAGCCACGGTTTATCTATAATATTAATACGTGAAGCAAAAACTTTGTATCCCTTTTTACGAAAATGCGCGGACGGAGGAGTATGAAATTTTCCACACTTATAGAGAATATAGAGAAGAAGTGCACAATGCTAATTTTTTTTTTAAATAAAGCATAAAAGATACATTAAATCAATAAAGAAAACATTACACACACTACATACCATGTATTTGGCACACACACGCATGCATACTATTTATTGTCAAACTTTTGTTCTTGACGTCTGTTGTCAAATTGAGAATCAATATTGTTTGTCTTTGTTAATATTTTTTATAGTGTAGTCTTGGCGAAATTTGTGATTATAAAATACAATCAAAATAGTGTACAAACTTACAATTCCAATTAATTATAGTCGAATTTCGACTACTGCGGGACCTCTAGTTTTCACTAAATACGGAAGCTCATAGACACCACAATGTGAAGGCCACGACCCATTTACAGACATAATTTCAGTTATAATGAAATCTTCAGTTTCAATTAAAGTTTATAAAGGCAATCGCCAGCAATTATCAAGCCAGAACGCCGGACCACAGCAGCAAAAGTAGGCGTTATAGTAGTACCTGTGTGGACTCATAACCGAACCGTAGTAAAATTTTACTACACTATACGAGACAAATTTGAGTTAACGCTTACGCTATCGAGAACGTTAAAAGACTCGCACTAAGCCCACTGATCATAAATTCATATTAGAATCTAATTACAACTACTTCTACGGTTTTATATCAAATCTTATACCTTTAAACGAGAAATTCTTGTATATTAATATATATAATCTGAATCTCGGAAACGGCTCCAACGATTTTCATAAAATTTAGTATACAGGGGATTTCGGGGGCGATAAATCGATCTAGCTACGATTTATTTTCAGAAAATGTTGTTTTATATGTATTTTCAATAATCAACTTTACCCGACATCTATTGGTGAATAATAATACTATTTTTCTTAATTGACGGCAAGTAACCGCTCTAAAGACACAACAAGATGGCGTTATCAAAAAAAACCCATCATCTAGTCAATAATTTAATAGAAACGTTTGACAGACGATTTCTTATAACAAGTATCGATGTGTATTCGAAAACGAGCTTTTATCCTAAATAATAGAATACAATAAAGCTCTAACGTTTGTTCTAAGACAGTGAACTAAGCTGCTTTGTCAATAGTAATCGAGCCTACACTAATGCCATGGAATCGAAAATAGTATTATAATAGAATTCAAATTGGTACTTATTACGTATTTTTCTTTTATACCACGTGTATTTGTTCGTTTTCAATTGAAATAGAAGGTTTATGGTTTCATTATAGAGTTTTATTTTAAAAGAAAAAAGTATCCTTTGATTAAACTACAAAAGCATGGTAGGCAGCGGCTTGGCTGTGCCGCTGGCAATGCTGAAGTCCCAGGGCGACGATAAACACTCACCATCAGGTAGGCCGTGTGCTCCTCTGTAAACAAGAGCATTTAAAAAAAATATAAAATATTATAGGAATGTAATATTGACCTAATAATCTGGCCGTTATAATCAGGGTTAACAAAATCTTTGATATTTTAGTTCGGTTTGGTGTCTTACTGGTGATGGAGCGTCTTGTGAGCACGTTTGTGTAGGTACCACCACCTTGTCGATTTCTGCCGTGAAGCAATAATACGTTTTGGTTTCTGGAGTGGGGCAACCATTGTACATATAATAATGAGACCTGTAACTCAAGTCTCTATATACGAGTAGGTGAGGGCATTTATCCATAGCTGTTTATCCATCTAAGCAAATAAAAAAAACAAGATAATGATACGCATCCTTGATCATCAATACCCGAAACCTATTGCTTTCAGTACCAAGGCTGTACCAGGTGTATTTAAGACCTAACTTCTATATAGCGTGACCGGTAATCGTAACAAAATTATATCGATGCGGGCCAAAACAATTTGGATCGTTCAAATATTTATAGAGTACTAGTGAAAACCTGCCAGCTTGGTTGTGACGATCGCGATATACGATACGAATAACACTTATTTCTTTTTCATTAATTTTATCTTTGTATGAGCCGTCGAGCTAATGGCCAGTCGGGTGTTGATTAATTGGTGCTGTCCATAGTCATTAAAACATGATTTCTTCCAATCACTACGAGACATGAAGGTGGAACATAACTTATGCTGTTCTGTATCAAAAAAAGACGTGTGGCACTCGGAGACTGCCGCGGTAAAGCTATTGCATAGCATTTTTTATCAACTTATGCAATTATAAATCGACAATAATAATTTAATATTGAAACAACAATAAAATAAGATCCGGCGAGAAACTCAGTGGGCTAACTTTCAATGAATCTGCTATATTGTGAGTATTACAGTTTGACCGCGCACTCACTAGAGGGCGCTACATGGGATAGAGACACGCCTTTGGATGCTAGTTCTAACTCTCATTCGCTCAGAATCAACGGTTTAGCTAGTTTATTTTTAATTCCACTCCAATCACTGAATGAGTAGTAGGAGTAATAATAAAATTCTTCGACTAAGCGATAGATAATGGCACGCCCAACGCATTGTAATGTGATATAATTTTCTATTTTACAATTCCGTTTGTCGCCGATAGATCGTTCTTGACGCAAAAGCTGAATCGCGCTATCATTGCGTTACCCACGAAATTATATCACATATTTTGATAGTACATAAATCGGTGTTTAGACTTCTTACTTTAAACACTACACAAGCGCAACGTGTGAACGTGTTGAACGCGAGCTACATAGTAGGCATAGTGAGGGGTGAAAGGTTTTTTTCGTTACGGAATTTCACGATTCCGCTCTCAAGCCGCACCCAAGGCCCGTGATAAAATCTATGCAATAGCTTAAAAATATAGCAGAATATTAATATTCATCAACATAATGCTATCAGTCGCTTTTGAAAATAGATTTTCACAAAGTTCTTTCATCCTTAGCGCCGATACAGACGGTGAAAGCGTATAAAGGCTCCTTGCATAGCACACATCATTCACCGCTCCAGCCGGACGATAAGAATCCTGACGTTGTACCTCTCGGCAAAGGTAAGTAAAACGAGGGTAGGTCAAAGTATTTTTTTTTTATAGTCACTATGTTTTCAGTTGGTCTTGATGTTAAACATTGGTTCGTATGCTCGATAATATATTGTGATATAATATTTATTACATTGTAAAGAAAAATAACTTAATAAACAGAAATGAAAAATGCTAATTCTGAAATTGTTCTCTATTTGTCTTTATCATAGAAACTGACATAAACCTGAATAACCGTAGAACTAATTTCAATAAAATCTTGATTTATATATTAAGTTTCGACCAACCACATTGGAACCTTCAGTCTCCCTAGTCAAGTTAAGTTTTATGGAAGATATTTTGTCGCAGCTTGTGCTCTAAATATTTTTCAATTTCACTGAGCTCTTACTTGCATGGTAACTTCCAAACCGGAGTGCGACTTGAGTGTCTTCCACTTGTACGAGTGGTTATCCACTCGTACAAGAAGCATTCGAGTCTATTAAGAACGATCGAGGCAATCATAAATAATACACAAAAAATAGTTATAGATAAGCAACTCAAGCACTCAACAAAAATGTTTACGGGCGTCGTCCACTAGATGGCTTCGCTTCGATTAGTTTCTCATTGCTTCTGTAGATGGCAGTAGCAATTGCCTATCCTATATTTAATTTTTTATGAAGGATTTAGTAAATTTTCAGAAACCACAAATTGATAAAATTTAATCAATTTGTCTCTATCTGTTGTCTATATTTTTTATTAATTTTCTGTGTTTAGTTACCTTATAATTAAATGCCTTAACTTTAACATCATATAAGTTTAGGGGCATCCGCTACAAGATGTCGCTAGTTTCCATACAAAAAAAAAAAACGATTTGTCTTAAAGTATCGCAGTTTCATAGCCCTGGAGGAAATAATATACTATTGTATTGTTTTTGTTATTTTTATCATTTGGTTTTCTTCATTAAAACATTGTCCATTTGTCTAGATTTTCACTGCACACACGACATCGAGCGACCTCCCGAGCCGCCCCCGTACGGCGCGGTGGTCTCTCCGCCGGTGGGCGTCTCAAGGAGTGCTCACAGTCTCCAACACGACGTGAGGTCGAATACACCTCACACTCCGAACACACCGGCTTCTGATGCTCAGGTAAACAACGAATTAATATGATTAACGTTGGAATTATATCTTATTCATCACTATAGGTATTAGTGAAAGTACAAAAATGATTCCGGACTGTTTTCGCTAATAACATTTTATCTTCCATTTATTACTCAATACATTTCATTGGAAGGCCTCTTAGAAACAGAAAGTATACGAAAGGGCACTTAATGGAACATTCTTGGAAAAAGAAATGAAGTTATCTCTCTAAGCTGACCGCTAACATTAATATCATTAGAATAGAAGTAACCGTTTTGGACAGCATCGAAAAGCTACACGAATACTTTCCTTTTTTTAATGCAAAGATGGATGGACGAGCTCACGGCCCACCTGGCGATAAGTGGTTACCGGAGTCCATAGACATCTATAACGTAAATGCCGCCACCCACCTTAAGAGATGAGTTCTAAGGCCTCACTTTTAACAGTACAACGGCTGCCCCGCCCTTCAAACCGAAACGCATTACTGCTTCACGGCAGAAATAGGCAGGGTGGTGGTACCTACATGTGCGGACTCACAAGACGTCCTACCATCTAAATGACAAGTTTCTTTAATATTATTTAAACAGTCTACATTGTGACAGCACACTCTTTGTTGCCAATCTTCAAAGTAGCGTCTTTTAAGTATGCCAATGTTACTGATTTGATCACAGAGCATCGGAACGCTAGCAGATGATCGTCGCAGTGTTACAAGCGGTACACTTTCACGGCGGAGAGAAGTGGTCACAACGCGGACACCCTTACTAGCTAACGCACGGGAAAGCTGCGTCTAGATTTACATTAATTTTCAGCCTTCATAAAGAATTTCCTTAAGAGTCGTCTAAGATTTTGAATCTAGATAATCTTTGTAGGGATACTTGATTGAGGCTCTTTGTAAATATGTACTTTGAAGGAACATGTTTTCTTTTTTATTGTATACAGAATGTTGTAAAGTATTCTAACTATTGTTACAATATTAATTGACGTGTTATATTTAAAGTAAATTCCCGTTGTATCTGTTTGGCTGTTTAACCATACACTATTAGATTTTTAATAACTACATATTATGTTTGAACGGTAATTCAACATTTTATAAGATTGGGATGAGATGTATCTTTTGTTAAGGTAGATAAGCGTAAAGCAGTGGCTTTGTACCAACCATAGCCTCTTGATAAGAAAATCTATAGAACACATGTTCAATTATTCTGATCAGCTTAGGAAAAATATAAAATAAAAATACTCTGTACACTTCTGTACATAAACGACATTAAATTTCTAGATGAATATTTAAAGTTTCTCCTAAAATTTACATCGAATGTTATATTGATGAAAGACTGTCTTAAATTTCTTTTGGTGTATAAATAATTTAAAATAAACATGTCATGTAAAATTATCAAATCTAGTTGTTATATTAAATTAAAAAAATATACGAAATGAACAATTTTAAATTGTTAATAACGACACCAGTTGATTCTCCGGAAGACTAAATAGTTGGAGCTATATGAAATAAAGAACTTGGTTTTTAAATTATTAATTTAGACTCTCATTTTAGGGACTAAAGCAGACTTTTTATTTATACAATCATCAAAGTATTGGATCTATTTATTTTTATAATCCTAATTTCGTCATGGAAAAGCGTTTGTAAAAATTTGGTTATTTTAAATTAATACTCTTATCAAAAAATAAGCATATATGGATTACGAGAAAATAAATAAATTATGTAATAATTATTGTTGGATTACAACGAGGATAATTCAAACACTATCTATCGTTACGTTAAGATAACTCGGGAAATTTTATTTGGATCTTCAACAGAGAGTATGACCTTTATTTATTAATTATATCTAATTAAAAGCTGTACTATATGTAAATTACATATTAATTAATTTATTACTCTTATTATTGTCTGTTAACGTGTAAATTAATATTCTTTTACGCTTTAATCTTTCGTTTTTAATGGCATTATATTATTTCCGTCACGACCACTATAGTATAAAGTATCATGACAGTAGAAAAAGAGGAATTAAACCATATAACTTTTATTTATTTATTGCTTAGATGGGGGACGAGCTCACGGCCCACCTGGTGTTAAGTGGTTACCGGAGCTCATAGACATCTACAACATAAATGCCGCCACCCACCTTGATATATGAGTTCTAAGATCTCAGTATAGTTACAACGGCTGCCTCACTCTTCAAAGCGAAACGCATTACTGCTTCACGACAGAAAGAGGTGGGACCGTGGTGTCTACCCGTGCGGACTCACAAAACGTCCTACCACCAGTAATTACGCAAATATGCGGATAATAATTATGCGGATTTGATTTTTTGTTACACGATGTTAGTCCTTCAGCGTGGAAGTCAATCGTGAATAATTTATTAAGTACGTATTTCATTAGAAAAATTGGTACCCGCCTGCGGGATTCGAACAACGACACGGTCGCATCGCTCGCGAATGCACCGGACGTCTTATCCTTTAGGCCACGGCGACTTCAAATACTTTGTAATAAGTTTGTTTGTAAATAAGCACTTTGAATTACGTCTATGACTCGCAAATATCTAAGATTATAATACTGTCACTGCGACGCGATAGTGAGTACATAAGACTAAATGTGTTAATGTACAAAGTTATGTATATAAGGCACTTTCTAAAACTATATACTGTACTCGTAAGGATTTTATTCGTAACAACAAACAATATCCTATGTAGTTTTTTTTTTGAGATATTGAAAATTTCTATTGTCTGTACAAATATTTTGTTACTAACTATTAATTGTTTTTTATAAATCGTCGTTTGAATTCGTTCATTGAGTGTGCATTTGTCATGTGAAGTGAAGCTTAATCGAGTCATTGCGATGTCTTGTCCTGTTGCTAACTGAACACATTGTTTTAAGCTATTGCATAGCTTTTATCGCGGGCCGACAGAATCATGAAATTCCGTAACGAAAAAAACCTTACACCCCTCACTCCCCCTACCATGTAGCTCGCGTTCAACACATTCACACGTTGCGCTTGTGTAGTGTTTGTGAGTAAGCGCGTGACGTGACGTCACACTGCATGCGCATCATGAAAAGTCTGCCCATCTCTCTCTCGCGCGGTCTAGCTTATGAGTGTGAAGGGGACAGTTAAGGTTTTGCTTTTATTAATGTTTAATATAGCGTAGTCTGGTTTTATTATTGTTTTAATATTAAATTATCATTGTCTAATTGCATAAGTAGATAAAAAGTGCTATGCAATAGCTTTACCGCGGCAGTTCCCGAGTGCCACACGTTTGTTTTTCTTTTTTTTTGCTTAGATGGGTGGACGAGCTCACAGCCCACCTGGTGTTAAGTGGTTACTGGAGTCCACAGACATCTACAACGTGAATGCGCCACCCATCTTGAGGTATAAGTTCTAAGATCTCAGTATAGTTCGCACCTTTAATAATTTTATTATTGTTATTATAATAACTTACTATAATAACTTAGCAATAATAAACTTGACAAACACCCACAAAAAGGATTTAAATTTAATGATATTACTAAGAGGAGATACTGTTGTGCTTTGATTTTCAAATGTAAAATGCATGTTTAATAGCAATGAAACACAGACAATAATTATAAAATTATTCTGAACATTTACAATTTTGTAAAAAAAAAACAACTGTATGTTCTTAACTTATTAGTCATTAATTCGTTTGATGAAAACAAAATTTTATTTTGAAATAATTTCAAACACAAGTATTTTTCTAATGTCATTACGTTTGTTTCATTCAACAATAAGGCTATGTATGTCAGGAAGTGAAAACTTCTAAACCATGTTTAACTTTAAACCTTATTTTTCAAATAATAAGTTATATATTTAAAAAAAACCGTACTGTCGTAAACATTTTAGTTTACTAAGCACTAGTCCTACCCTACTTTGGAAAAAAAGAATTAATGATTATCAAAATTTGAACTTTATACCTATTGTTACGATGCAAAATGACGACACTCCTTAGAGAAAAAAGCAAGTTACATTTTAATTTAAATTCTCTGTATTTTTTCTTGTTTTATTTAAACTATATAAAGCGCCTAAAGTAAACGACTTGTAAGTAAAAAAAAAAAAATACAAAATAATTTGATTTGCTAAAACAATTTGTAATTTAATTTCGAGACGTTACTAAGACTAAATAACTTATCATATTGTCGAGAAAAACATTACTTGTCTTATGAGTTTTAATTTTAACGTAAATCACTGTGATGCTATTTTAAATATATTTTAATGTTTAAGATGTAAATAATATTAAAAAATAATAATTCCCTACACTGATAACGTTGTATATTTTTCTTTTGTATATTAATGTTCATAGATAGAAAATAATGTGAATATAAAATGACGTAGTAGGCAAATTTTATTTTTAAATAATAATAATTTACTATTTGGTGTTTGTTAATTTTATATTTTTTATTTCGTATTAGTTATTCAACGAATATCATTCAATGTTTAGATAAGTTTTACAGAAAATGCTACATTATGAAATTCGTTCTATTTTATTCTACGTAGAAGAATGTTAATATTTTTTTGTATCATAGTAAATAAATGTTTGGAAAAAAAAAAAAAAAAAAAAAAAATTGTTAGTTTCTTTGTATCAAGAATATAATTTTATTAATTAATCAAAATTTATTTTAGTAATTTTTCCAAGACTTCTTCTACATATCCGTATATATTAAGATGGTATGTGTATACATTTCTTCAAATAAATTTGCCCATGAGCAAGTATTTTTTGGTGTTTCACTTATATTGACCCTGATAACGCCCCGTTATTTAAGCTATGCTAAAAACTTTTTTATGATGGACCTTTGCTTATTAGTCATTACTGTTACAAAAAAAGCTTCACCGCAGTGGAATATTATTGTCTATTATAACAGACGACGGTAACCATTTGCCACCTCATATAATACAATCTGTAAATAAAATACTGTGGCTTGAATATATTTGTTGTACTAAAGCACCAAAAGATGAAATTTTTTAGTACATTTTATCAAGACAACATACTGTGTTTTATTATATAGCCAGGTGAACGTCCTGGGGTTAACCCATCGACATTACAGCGTTAATGACGTTCCTCAACTCGGGACACGATAATCTAAGTCTCAGACGTATAGTGAAATGGCTGTCTCGCTCTTCAAAAAGGAACATAATGCTTCGCGGTAGAAATATGTCGAAAGTATATTATTATAGAATAGGTTATTCGCTCTGATAGTAGTAGCAAAAAGGTTTTTTTTTATTCAATTAATATTGCTTGCATGCAATGCATGCGTTAAGTCGTCGTGACCTAAAGGATAAGACGTCGTCCGGTGCATTCGTATCTAGCGATGCAACGGTGTTCGAGTCCCGCAGGCGGATACCATTTTTTCTAATGAAATACGTACTTAACAAATTAACAAATGTTCACGATTGACTTCCACGGTGAAGGAATAACATCGTGTAATAAAAATCAAACCCGCAAAATTCTGATTTGCGTAATTACTGGTGGTAGGACCTCTGGTGAGTCCGCACGGTTAGGTACCACCGCCCTACCTATTTCTGCCGTGAAGCAGTAATGCGTTTCGGTTTAAAGGGTGGGTCAACCGTTGTAACTACTGAGACCTTAGAACTTATATCTCAAGGTGGGTGGCGCATTTACGTTGTAGTTGTCTATGGGCTCCAGTAACCACTTAACAACAGGTGGGCTGTGAGCTTGTCCACCCATCTAAGCAATAAAAAAATAGATATAATATATATATTTATCTTCAGTATCGAATCTAAAAACCATTGCTCCGATTGTTATTGTCTTATATTTGTGACAAAAACAACCTTTGTTCAGCATCTCTTCGGGTCCAAGATTTCTTTTTTTTTAAATAACTGTAAAACAATAACAAAGTATAGTTAACAAATTACAGTTAAAAAAATACAGTTTCGTGTTAAAATAAACAGAACATGAAACGAATGCCGTATGTATGAGAAACCTTTAAAGCCAAAGGTAATTTTCAAAATTATTTCAAAAATTTTACTTCTCGTAACATTTTTTGTGTAGATAAGTCGATCGCCTAATAGCCCGGCTTCAAATGGCAACTGTACCGCATAGACGCCAAGGTTATACCGTGAATGTTGTTATAAGTCTTGAGATATAAAAGCAGATTATCGATGCTAATGTAATAATTTAAGCTACAGCCGTCAAATCAAAGGCAATTTTTTGATACCCATTCGCTGGTAGCCTAAGATGCTAATCCAGTTACGCCTGGACGGGTTGATGAGCTTACGGGCTCAACCTGAGAGAATATTTTATCTCTAGTCCTACCAAGAGCAGTGCTTCGCAGAATCTACCATCGAATCGGGTTCACAACCCACTCTGCGATCAGTGTTTAGAGCAAAAAGACAT